CAGTTAAGCATCCAATTCTTGATTCCAGCTCAGGCCATGATCTGAGGGTCCTGAGATGGAGCCCTGAGTGGGCTCCACGCTCAGCAGGGAGTCTGCTGGACGTTCTCTCTCTGACTCTCTCTCTCTTTCTCCCTCCTTCTGCCCCTCTCCCTGCTCACACGCACATGCTCTCTCTCTCAAATAAATAAATCTTTATAAAAACAATAAACAAAACAAAAAACAAAGTCCTTTAGGCTAATTCTATTGCCATTTTTGCTTCAACACAACTGCAGGATTTAAAAGGCCAGGTTTCCGTGTAGGCTTTCATTATCTCACTGAAGGAAGCCTAACAATCTCTGCTGTGTCCTTGGGTATAGCCTTGAGTCAAATAAAATGTTGCCTTAATTGCACTAGAATGTCCAAAAATCGCATGGATATGGAAAAGTCCTTCAAGAAGTTTTTCTCCGATTTGAATCCTCACATTCATTCTCTGCTACCCACTAGAATTTTCTTTTTTCTATTAAAAAAATTGTAAGATATACTTAACATAAAGTTCACCATTTTTGACCATTTTTAAGGATACTGTGTCAGGGGCATTAAGCACATTCACATTGTTGTGCAACCATCGCCACCATCCATCTCTGGAACATTTTTCGTCCTGCAAAATGGAAACTCCGGACCCATTAAACACTAACTCCCCATTTTCCCCTCCCCTCTGCCTTTGGCAACCACTATTCTACCTTGTATATCTATGAATGTGATTATTTTAGTTACCTTAGATAGTGGAATCATACAGTATTTGTCCTTTTACTCAGCATGATGTCTTCAAGATTCATCCATGATGTACTATGTGTCAGAATTTCCTTCCTTTTTAAGGCTGAATAATATTTCATTATATGGTTGTTGTTGTTGTTTAGTTTTTAATTTAAAAAATTTTTAAATTAAATTTTTTTTTGGTAATCTCTACATCGGGCTCAAACTCACAACCCTGAGATCAAGAGCTGCATGCTCTTCCAACTGAGCCAACCAGGCGCTCAATTTCATTGTATGTTTATATGACATTTTGTTTATCAGTTCATCTGTTGATGCACATTTCGGTTGCTTCTACTTTTTGGCTATTGTAAATAATGTTGATATGGACGTAGTTATACAAATATCTGTTTGACTCCTTGCTTTCAATTCTTTTGAGTGTTTACCCAGAGGTGGAATTGCTGATCATATGGTAATTCTATTTTTAATTTTGTGAGGGACTGCCAGACTGTTTTCCATAACAGCTGTACCATTTTACATTCCTACTGGCAGTGCACAGGGGTTACGATTTCTCACCATTCTTTGTTTGTTAGTTTTTTGTTTTAAAGCTCTTTAAGTTTGTTTTTGTTTTTAAATTTTTTTTTATTTTTTTATTTTATTTTTTTTAAGATTTCATTTATTTATTTGACAGAGAGAGACACAGCAAGAGAGGGAACACAAGCAGGGGGAGTGGGAGAGGGAGAAGCAGGCTTCCCGCCGAGCAGGGAGTGGGGCTCGATCCCAGGACCCTGGGACCATGACCTGAGCCGAAGGCAGACGCTTAATGACTGAGTGACCCAAGGTGCCCCCCCAATTTTTTTTAAATTAACATATAATGTATTATTTGTTTCAGGGGTACAGGTCTATGATTCATCAGTCTTACACAATTCACAGTGCTCACCACAACACATACCCTCCCCAATGTCCATCACCCAGCCACCTCACCCCCCAATTTCTTACCATTCTCGCCAACACTTGTTATTTTGGTTTTGTTTTGTTTTTGTTTTATAACAGCCAATCTAGTGGGTGTGAAATAGTATCTCATTGTGGTTTTGATTTGCATTTTACTAATGATGAGTGATATTGAGCCTCTTTTCGTGTACTTATTAGCCATTTGTACATCTTCTTTGGAGAAATGTCTAAGTCCTATGCCCATTTCTTAATAAGGATTAAGAAATTAATTAAGGATTTTCCTTTTCTTTTAAAGGGGGGGGTGTTTCCTTTTCTTTTAAAGGTGGTGAGTACATTAGTCAAGTTTAAGAGACTACCAACCAAATCCTGGAGATAAATCCATTGTCTACTTGACATTAAATTTCTTGTGAATAATCACTATGTTTACATTTACAAAACTATATTGCAATTATATGGTAAAACAAATTTAAATTTTAAATATTTTATTTATTTTTAAAAAGATTTTTTATTTATCTGGGAGAGAACAGAGCATGAGAGAACACGAGTAGGGGGGCAGAGGGAGAGGGAGAAGCAGACTCCCCACTGAGCAGGGAGCCCAATGTGGGGCTCGATCCCAGGACCCTGGGATCATGACCTGAGCCAAAGGCAGGCGCTCAATCAACTGAGCCACCCAGGAGCCCCTGAAATTTAAAAATTTTAATTCTAAGAACTACTGCACATGAAATAAAATTCACCCACAGAGAAATGTACATAAGAGTACAGTTTGGTGAATTTTCACAAATGAACACGCATGTGTAACTAGGGCCAAGTTCAACAGAGAGAGCCTTACTAACTAACACCTTGGAAATCCCTCACCCAGTCACTATCCTTTTCCTGCCAAGGTAACCATTATTCCAAATTTTAGCAGATAACTTTCCCTGTTTTTATGCTGAAGTGGGCTTACTCAGTATGTACTTTTTGCGCCTTTTCTTTTTTTTATTTTTTAATATTTATTTATTTATTTGTCAGAGAGAGAGAGAGAGAGCACAAGCAGGGGAAGCGGCAGGCAGAGGGAGAAGCAGACTCCCCACAGAGCAGGGAGCCCGATGTGGGGCTTGATCCCAGGACCCTGGGCTCATGACCTGAGCTGAAGGCAGACGCTTAACGACTGAGCCACCCAGGCCCCCCTCTTTTCTTTTTTTAAAATTTATTTTGGTGAGTGCATGCACACACGCTGTCTGCAGGGGAGAGGGGCAGAGGGAGAGAGAGAGAGAGAGAATCCTCAAGCAGACTCCCGGCTGAGTTCGGAGCCTGATCCCAGGACCCCGAGATTAGTACCTAAGCCGAAATCATGAGTCGGCTACTCAACCAACTGAGCCACCCAGGTGACTTGCACCTTACTTTCTATGCTCAAATTCACATTTCTGCAGGTAAGCCATTTCATGTTGGTCCTTTCGGGTCAGTCTTCTCTTTGTTGCATAGCATTCCATTATTTGAATTATATTTATTAATTTATTCTGTTGTTTTTGGTCTTTTGGGTTATTTCCATTTGGGGGCCATTCAAACAAATGCAGCTGTGAACATTCTTGTGCCTGTTTGTTGGTGCACCATTAATCCTCGCTGGATTTGTAGAAGTGGACCCTGTTTGCTGGGTCATAGGATAGGCTTCTTTGGTAGATAGTGCCAAATTGTTTTTTATTTTATTTTTAAAGATTTTATTTATTTAACAGAGAGAGACACAGCGAGAGAGGGAACTCAAGCAGGCGGAATGAGAGAGGGAGAAGCAGACTTCCCACCGAGCAGGGAGCCTGATGCGGGGCTCGATCCCAGAATCCTGGGATCATGACCTGAGCCGAAAGCAGACGCTTAACCCTCTGAGTCACCCAGGCGCCCTCAAATTGTTTTTTAAAGGAGTTGTTCTAGTTTACATTTCAGAAGCAAGGTAGATGAATTCAGTTACTCCACATCCTTGTGGTGTGGGAAACAAAGGCAAAAGAAAAAACTAAATTTCCTTACTACTTACAGCCCACTGACAGGTCCTCGAAACAGGCAGAGTGCCCTTCCTCTAGGAACTCAGCTGCCTCAATGTTAATGCTTTGCTAAGGGGAAAGGGCCATCTTAGCTTAACATTATCCCGCTCCCCCCCCACCCCAGGATCCTGTAAGTCTACTTTAACATATAAAAATTCCTAAAAAAAAAAAAAGAAGAAGATAGCAGGAGGGGAAGAATGAAGGGGGGAAATCGGAGGGAGAGACGAACCATGAGAAATGACAGACTCTGAAAAACAAATTGAGGGTTCTAGAGGGGAGGGCTGTGGGGGGATAGGTTAGCCTGGTGATGGGTATTAAGGAGGGCACGTTCTGCATGGAGCACTAGGTGTTATGCACAAACAATGAATCATGGAACACTACATCAAAAACAAATGATGCAATGTATGGTGATTAACATAACAATAAAAATTTAAAGAATATATAAAAATTCCTTTGGAAACTTCCTTTATCTCTAACCCCCATGATACACGTTAGCAATCATCCCCCAAGCATATGGCCCACTGATATACAACTGAAGGGTCTCACGACTGAGGTTTTATTAGATGATAATGACCTTTTCCCAACAATAGCTAGCCCCCTCAAGGTCCTAGAAACCTTGCTTCCAAAATTCCTCAGAGACTTACCATCCCTAACCCCCTCTCAACTTGAAAGTATGTAACGGGCCACTCCTCATGACCCCAGTGTAGCTCTTTCTGCCCACCAGTCTTCTGCCTGAGCACGGAAGACCTCTCAAGAATTTTCTTAGTCATGAGCCCCAAACCCCAACATTTCCTACATCACTTGGAGTATTTTGCCAACACTTGGTATCTTCCTTTATTCCCTTTTCTATTGTATTTTGAAACATAAGAACAACTCAAGCAAAGTTTAGATTGCTTTTGGGGGGACCTTTTAGTTGTTGGCTTGGTTCTCTCAGTTGTTAACCATCTCAGACATCTACTTTGTCCAGCCGCCAGGTGTGGGCTGTGAGTGCGTTTTCGGTTTTGCTCAACATTTTTGCTCACTCTGCTCCTTGGATGTCATCGGGCGAAGAACATAAGGTGTGTGTCCAAGGCGGGGCAAGTCGTCTGGAAAGCTGGTCACTTAGTAGGCGAAACTTAGGCGGACCTTCCTGTCAGTTCTTTACTGGGGTCCACGATCTAGGCGGTCCTGCCCGCCGCTCGTCTCCCCACTGCCACCGGGCCCGGGAGGCACCGGGAACGCAAAGGAGCCGCCCTCCGCGGCACCAGCCAGAACTGGGGTGGAGCGGGGCGGCGGACCCGGTCCTCGCGGAGCATGCGCAGACCAAGCCCAGCGCATGCTCCGCAGAGCGGCGGGTCCGCAGATGAGGGGAGTCGAGTCTCCCGCGCCCCGCCACCCTTGCCGGGTTTGCTGCCAAGACGCTTGTTCCGAGCCCTGGCTGCCAATAAAGTTCGTTAAAAAACCATAGTCATTCTTAAAGGAGCGAAGGGAGCCGCGAGCCAGCCAGGCGGCCCCGCCGGGGAGCGGCGCCCTAGGAGGAGGAGGAGCAGGAGGAGGAGGAGGTGGTGGCGGCGGCGGCGGCGGTAGCGGTTGCGCCGCGACCAGGAGCAGCCGGTCGCGCCGGGCGGGGGACGGTGAGTAGCGGCTTGCACTCCCGGGCAGCGGCGCGGCTCGGACTCGCCCTCTGCAGTGGCTGAGGGCTCCCCCGGCTCCGCTGGGAAGGACCCGCTTCTTCCCGGGGTCCCGGGATATGCCGTACTCCGGGGACTCTACGTAGAGGGGTGGGGGGGCAGGGGCCTCCAGGCCCGGGCTCCCATCCCCCGGCCCCGGCCGCTGAGCGCCCGCTCCCCAGCCTCTGAGCGCCGTCGCCAAGTTCCGGCTGCAGAAGGTGGGCGGCACTACCTGCCCGGCAGCCGCTCTCAGCGCCCAGCGGCCCGGGCCCCCAGGGTGTGGGTCCCTGGAATTGCCCCTTGGGCGGGAAGGAGGGAGACGGAGCGGGGGCGAGGCGCTGGCCTGCAGCCTGGCTGAGCACCCAGCTTCTTGCCTACTCCCAGCGCCCACATGGGGAAGGGGCGACCCCGGCCGGGCGAGACACCAACAAGGGGCGTCAAGTGCCGGGTGCGGTTTGGTCAGGAGGGGGTCCCAAGCCCTGCCCTGGCTTTCAGAACCCCCTCCTCCCTGCGGCGGGGCCCCCTCCTTCCCGCGGCCCCACCCTTCTCTAGTTTCTTGCTCAGAGACTGCTAGAATGTGAATGAGCCAGACGGCACGCTTTCATTGAGACTGGCTGCCACGGAATCACTTAACTCGGAGAACCGAGGAGCCTTCGGCAGCTCCCAGACGTTAGAACCTGAGGGTGCGTGAGAGAGCATTAACTTCACTCTCAGGAGTACCGGTGGAGTCGGAAAGGGTCGTTTCTCTGGGTTTTATGTAACTCCTAACGTGTTCTGGGTAATGTCATTGGACCTAACAAGTTTTTCAGTGTTAGAAACACAGTCGTACCTGTGCTTAAGTACCTTTTCTAATTTATTAGACTGCATTGGTTGGAGAAGTTTTTAAAATTAAATTTGGGGAAAACGTATTTAGAAAAGAGTATTTATGCAGAGCATTGCGGTAAGCCTTTATTATACTCAGAATTATCTTATTTTCTAAGAACTTAACTGTTTTGATAGAGTGCATTAAGTCTACAGGGCAGTAGTAGCTGATAATCACCAGACTGGCTGTGTTAAAATCTGATTAGGCTTTTCTTTTTTAAATTTTATTTTTAAAATGATACGGTAAAATTGACTTTTTTTTTAAGATTTTATTTTATTTATTTGACAGAGAGAGACACAGGGAGAGAGGGAACACAAGCAGGGGGAGTGGGAGAAGGAGAAGCAGGCTTCCCGCCAAGCAGGGAGCCCGATGCGGGGCTCGATCCCAGGACCCTGGGACCATGACCTGAGCCGAAGGCAGACGCTTAACGACTGAGCCACCCAGGCGCCCCTAAAATTGACTTTTTAAGGAGTGTGCCGTTCTATGAATTTTAGATTAATGCAGTCACCACGACAATCAGGACATAGAACAGTGCTTATCACCCCCCACCCCAAATTCATGCTATCTTTTTTTATCCTTCCCCTAACCCCTGGCAATTACTAAACTTTTCCAGATGTCATATAAGTGGAATCATACAATATGTAACCTTTTGATGCTGACTTCTTTCACTCAGCATAATGCCTTTGAGATTCCTCAAAGTTGAATGTATCAACAATGTCTTCTTTTTTTTATGGCTAAGTAATGTTCCATTAGATGGATGTGCCAGTTTGTTTAAACATCCATCCACTGAAGGACATTTGGAGTGTTTCCAATTCTTGGTGATTATGAATAGAGCTGCTATAAACATTCGTGTACAGGTTTTTGTGTGAACATAAGTTCGCATTTCTGTAGGGTATTGCTAGGAATGAGATTGCAGGGTCATATAAAAGATGTTTAACTTTGTAAGGAACTGTCATGCTGGTTTCCAGAGTGGCTGTTACCATTTTGCATTCTTACCAGCACCGTGTGAGACTACCAATTGTTCCACATCCTTGTAAGCACTTGGTATTGTCAGTAATTTTAAATTTAGCCATCTCATAGGCGTGTAGTGGTATCCCATGGTTTTAGTGTGTCTTAACTAATGACTAATGATTTTGAATATCTTTTTATGTGCTTATTTGGCATGTATAATCTTTGATGGGTATCTGGGCAAGAGTATTGCCCATTTTTCAAATGGGTTGTGTGCTTTCTTACGGTTTTTTTTTTTTTTTCCTTATGTTGAGTTTTGAGGGTTCTTTATATGTTCTGGATACAAGTTATTTGGTAGATATGTGCTTTGCAAATATTTTCTCGCAGTCTGTAGCTTGTCTTTTCATTCTTTTAACAGTATCATTCACAGAGCAAATGTTTTTAATTTTTGTGAAGTCTAATTTATCAATTTTTCCTTTTGTGGAAATTTTTTTGGTATGATGTCTAAGAACTCTGCCTAACCGCAGATCAACATTTTCAGCTTGTAAAAGATTTCTTCTAAAAATTATTCTTTTACTTTATTTATTTTATTTTTTAAAGATTTTATTTATTTATTTGAGAGAGAGAGTACCTGAGCACAAGCAGGGGGCAGTTGGGGGAGCAGAGGGAGAGGGAGAAGCAGACTCCCCGCAGAGCAGGGAGTCCCACCCCCCGGCTGGATCCCAGGACCCTGAGATCATGACCTGAGCTGAAGGCAGACGCTTAACCGACTGAGCCACCCAGGCACCGCCAGTATCACACTTTGTTAATTAGTATAGCTTTATGGTGTCTTAAAATTGGCTACTATGATTTCCTCCGATTTTATTCTTTTTAAAAATTGTGTTAGCTATTCTAGTTTATCTGCCTTTCCATATAACATTTAGAATCAGCTTGTCTCAACTGCAGAAAATCCTGCTGGCGCTTTGGAATTGGATTAAACCATGGATTGATTTGGGGAGAAGTGCTGTTTTTACTTTTTTGAGTCTTCCAATCTGTGAACATGGCACATCTTTTTATTTATTTAGGTCTTTGTTTCATTAGTGATTTATAATTTTCAGCATATAGGTCCTGTACATGTTTTGTTAAATTTATACCAAAGTATTTAATTTGGGGGGAACTTTTATAAATGTCACTTAAAAATTTTGTTTTCAGGGGTGGTTGGCTGGCTCAGTTGGAACAGCATGTGACTCTTGATCTTGGGGTTGTGAGTTCCAGCCCCATGTTGGGTGTAGAGATTACTTAAATAAATAAAATAAATTTAAAAAATAAAAATGTACATTTTTTCAAATTGTATGTTGTTAAGGTATAGAAATACAATTCAGTGTTGTGTGTTGCCCTTGTATCCCGTGTCCTTGCTAAACTCATTTATTCGTTCTGGGATTTTTTTTTTTTTTTAATTCCTTGGAGTTTTCTGTAAAGACACTCATGTAATTTGTGAATAAGGGCAGTTTTATTTAATTTTTCTCTAACTTGTAAGAGTTTTATTTATTTTTGTCACCTAGTTTCTGGCTAAGACTTTGTGTATGATGAATAGGAGTACTGAGAGTGAAAATACTTACCTTGTTCTCAGTCTAAGGGTTAAAGCAGTCCGGCTTTCAGGGGCACCTGGCTAGCTCAGTCAGTAGAGCATGCGACTCTTGATCTCTGGGTCATGAGTTTGAGTCCCATGTTGTGCGTAGAGTTTACTTGAAAAAAAAAAAAAGCAGGCTTTCAGAGTTAAGTATAATGTTAGCTGTGGAGTTTTTTTAATAGATGACATTTATGAGGCTGAAGAAGTCTTCTGTTTCTAGTTTGCGGACTATTTTTCTGACAAACGGATTTGAATTTTGTTATATATTTCCTCTGTTTCAGTTGATAGGGTGATGAGGTTTTTCTTTTTTACTTTGTTAATTTGGTAGATTACACTGATTGATTTTTGAGTATTGAACCAGTCTTGCATTCCCAGAATAAAGCCCACTTGGTCCTAGTTATTCTATTTGTATATTCCTAGATTTGATTTACTAATATTTTGTTGAGGACTTTTGTGTGTCCTTGTCCAGTTGTTTTTGTTTTGTTTTTTGGTACTGTTTTTGTGTTGGTATCAAAATAATACTGGCTTGGGGCACCTGGGTGGCTCAGATGGTTAAGCATCTGCCTTCGGCCCAGGTCATGATCCCGGGGTCCTGGGATCAAGCCCCACATTGGGCTCCTGGCTCAGCAGGGAGCCTGCTTCTCCCTCTCCCTCTGCTTCTCTCCCTGCTCATGCTCTCTCTCTCTCTCTCTTTGTCTCAAATGAATAAATAAATCTTAAAAAACAAAACAAAACAAAAAAAATAATACTGGCTTTATAAAATAAGTTGGGAAGTATTCCCTTCTCTTCTGTATTCTGGAAGAAAGTGTGTATCATTGGTGTCAATTCTTGAAAGGTTTGGTAAAATTCTCCAGTGAAATCACCTGAGCCTGGAGATTTGTCTTTGAGTTTTTAAGTTACAAGTTCAATTTCCTTTATAGTTACAGGGCTATTCAGATTATCTGTTTCATTTTCAGTGAGTTGTGGTACTTAATGCTTTTTAAGGAATTGGTCCATTTCATCTAAGTTGTCAATTTTTTAAGGGGGGGAGGGGCAGAGGGAGAGAGTGTGTGGGGCTCCATCTCACGACCCTGAGATCATGACCTGAGCCAAAATCAAGAGTCAGATGCTTAACGGACTAAGCTACCCAGGCCTCCCTAAGTTGTCAAATTTATGTGTGTAGAGTTGTTACATTATCCTTTTGAGTCTGCAAAGTCCACAGTGACATTCCTGATTTTATTCCTAATACTGGTAATTTGTATCTTCTCTTTTTTTTTTTCCCTGAGTTATTCAGTTTTTTTTTTTTATCTTTAAAGAAAGTTTTTTGTTTAATTTTCCCTATTTTTCTGTTTTCAATTTCAGTGATTTCTGCTTGCTTCTATTATTTCCATCCTTTGCTTTGGGTTTATTTTGCTCTTCTTTTTCTAGTTTCTTGAGGTGAGAGTTTAAATTATTGATTTGAGACTTCTTTTCTATGGTAAGCATTTAGTGCTATAATTTTCCCTCTCAGCACTACATTAGCTATGTCCCACAAATTTTCACATTTTGTATTTTCATTTTAATTCAGTTTAATTATTTGAAAAAAATGTCTTTTGAGCTTCTTTCTTTGGCCCACAGGTTCTTTAGAAGTTAGAAGTCTGTGTTTTTAGTTTGCATATGTTTGTAGGTTTTCCTGTTATCTTTCTGTTACTGATTTCTAGTTTGATTGTGTTGTAGTCTCATTATTTTAAGTTTATTGAAGTTTGTTTTATGGCCTAGAATCTGTTTTATCTTGGTATATATTTAATGGGTACTTGAAAAAAAAGTATGTTCTGGGGCGCCTGGGTGGCTCAGTCAGATTGTCCGACTCTTGATTTTGGCTCAGGTCATGATCTTAAGGTTGTGAGTTCAAGCCCCGAGACAGACTCCGTGCAGAGTCTGAGATTTTTTCTCCCTCTCCTTCTGCCTCTCCCCCTGCTTATAGTCTTTCTGTCTCTCAATAAATAAATAAAATCTTTAAAAGAAAAAAGTATATTCTGTTGTATGGACAGTTCTATAAATGCCAATTAGAGGGACGCCTGGGTGGCTCAGTTGGTTAAGCGTCTGCCTTTGGCTCAGGTCATGATTCCAGGGTCCTGGGATCGAGTCCCGCATCGGGCTCCCTGCTCGGTGGGGAGCCTGCTTCTCCTTCTGCCTCCTCTGCCTGCTACTCCCCCTGCTTGTGCTCTCTCTCTGACATAAATAAATAAAATCTTTAAAAAAAAATGCCAATTAGATTCTGATAGTTTTATTGTGTTATTAGACTTTCATTTTGTTTTATTGTAGTGTTTTTGAGTATATCTCTTTGCATAACTTTTTTTTTTTTAAAGATTTTATTTATTTGAGAGAGAGTGGGAGAGTGCATGAGTTGGGGGAGGGGCCGAGGAAGTGGGAGAAGCAGGCTCCATGGTAAGCTTGGAGCCAGATGCGGGGGCTTGATCCCAGGACCCTGAGATCATGACCTGAGCCTAAAGCAGACTCTTAACTAACCGAACCACTCAGGTGCCCCTCTTTGTGTAACTTCTTTAGTGGTTGCTCTAGGTGTTATACTGTATACACTACATATATATAATTTATCACAGTCCGTCGGTGTTAACATTTTACCAGTTCAAGGGAAGCATAGAAATCTTACCTCCCTTTACATTCCGTTGACCTCTCCCATTTATAATTAATTATGTTAAATATTTTCTCTACACATATTGAAAACCACACAGTTGTGTTTGAGTCAAACATAATTTAGAATGCTCAAGAGAAATCTGTTGTATTTACCTGTATTTTTGCTCCTACCACATTCTTCTTTTCATTCTGATATTCTATTTTTTTACATCATTTAATTATGTTTGAGGTGGAGACCTAGAACCTATACTTTAACAAATCTTCCTCGATTATTCTTATGATTGTGCAAGTTTGTGAAGCACTAGGGACAATTATTGAGACTCCATGTGGAGCGGAGAGGAATGTTCTTCATGTTTCAGACTTGTTTTGTGTAGTGGTGGTATAGATGGATTTTCAGTTAAGGGAGTTGGAATATAATATTATAACATATAACAGTAGTCAGGAACTTAACTAGTAATTTTCCTAAGAAATTGACTTTCTGTTCTTTTCAATCTAAAATGCAAACAGTACACATTGTATTACTTTCATTATATGAGTAACTGTAACTAGTCTGAAACTAAAGAAAGAATGAGTGGTATAAGATTATTTGTGAAGGAGTCATTGTAACCTGAACAGTAAGAGTCTAGTGCTGTTACAGTTGTATATTATTACACAAAATCTTTCTTTGGGGTGCTTTTCTAGGGATATTAATTATTACCTGTGAGATCGAACAAGCAGTTTCCTTAGATTTTGTATTTGTTGCCCATGTGGTGGTAACTGTGGAGGATTTATTATGTTGTATAAAACTAAACTACCATTTTTTGAATGCTTAATTTTCTTTTTTTTTTTTTTTAAGATTTTTATGTATTTATTTGTTAGAGAGAGAGAGAGAGCACAAGCAGGGGGAGCGGCAGGTAGAGGGAGAAGCAGGCTCCCTGCTGAGCAAGGAGCCCGATGCGGGGCTCGATCCCAGGACCCTGGGATCATGACCTGAGCAGAAGGCAGATGCTTAAACCGACTGATGAGCCATCGAGGCGTCCCTGAATGCTTAATTTGCACTATGCTAAGTTCTTTATATGTACCATTGATCAACAATCTTCTGAGGTAAATATCCTCAGTTAAACTGAAGCCTAAAGAGGTTAGCCAGTAACATCACTTAGAGCACAGAACTAGTAAGTGGCAGCTTTCAATCAGACCTCAATTCTAACACTGCAGTCTTAGTCTTAGTCTCATTGAAAAGTAGAACTACGTAATCTAGGCATTTATTAATACCTGATGTCATATATTGTGTGCTATTGTTCAGGATTCAAAAGTGAATGATGTTATTGTACCTCCTTTCAATGAATTTACATGATATAAACAGGGTGGTAAGGGGACCTCCATCATGGAAAAATTCTTGCAATGCACTATAGTTATTTCTTCATAAAACAATTATGGCTTATTTTGTACAATTTTTGGGGTGCCTGGGTGGCTCAGTCTGTTAAGCGTCTGACTCTTGGTTTCAACTCAGGTCATGATTTCAGGATCCTGGGATCCAGCCCCAGGTCCGGCTCTGCGCTCAGCGGAGAGTCTGCTTGAGATTCTCTCCCTCTCCCTCTGCCCCTCCCCCTGCTCGCACACATTCTCTCTCAAATAAATAAATCAATTTTTTAAATTATAATATTTTGGGGCACCTGGGTGGCTCAGTCGTTAAGCGTCTGCCTTCGGCTCAGGTCATGATCCCAGGGTCCTGGGATGGAGCCCCGCATCGGGCTCCCTGCTCAGCGGGAAGCCTGCTTCTCCCTCTCCCATTCCCCCTGCTTGTGTTTCCTCTCTTGCTGTGTCTCTCTCTGTCAAATAAATAAATAAAATCTTAAAAAAAATAAAATAAAATGGTAATATTCTGTACAATTTCTATGTTATGAAAAATAATTTCATTTTAAACCACAGATTTGAGAAGATCTGATCACCTGGATTAACGTTGGTTCAGAAGCCTTTTCAACTGCAAAAATGTTGGAGGAAGATATGGAAGTGGCCATCAAGATGGTGGTTGTAGGGAATGGAGCAGTTGGAAAATCAAGTATGATTCAGCGATATTGCAAAGGCATTTTTACAAAAGACTACAAGAAAACCATTGGAGTTGATTTTTTGGAGCGACAGATCCAGTATGTACTTGGCTACTTTATCCCCTCAGTTTTGATTTGTGAACTCTATCCCAGGGTTTCACTGGAATAATACTGATTGCAGTACAGTCCAAGGTTAGGATCCAGTCTGATGGCAGTGGCTAATGAGACAGTTGGTGGTGGTTTTCAAATACTCAGTCCTGTGTGTATCTTTCTTTTTTTCTTTTTCTTTTTCCATTCTCTTTAATGTTTAAAGTTTTTATTTACATTCTAGTTAGTTAACACATTCCTGTGTGTATTTTTATCCTTCTGTCTTTTTTTCACCTTTCATCTATTTTCCCTTCCTCATTTCCTCTCTTTTTTCATACTTCCTTCCCCACCCTTTCTATCTTGTATCGGTTTTATATTTATTGGTGGCACCTTTCATACTTCTTAAACACAAACTGATGCTTGACTCTAATGAGATTTCTGTCCACTACAAGCTCAACTTGGAGATTTTGCAGGTTCAGTTCCAGACCACCGCAAAAAGCGAGTCAAATGAATTTTTTTGGTTTTGCAGTGCATATGAAAGTTATGTTTACATTATACTGTAGTCTGTTAGGTATGTGATACCATTATGTCTAAAAAAAATAATGTACATGCCTTCATTTAAAAATACTTTATTGCTAAAAAATGGTAAGCATCCTCTGATCTTTCACCAAGTCTGAATCTTTTTGCTGGTGAAGAGTCTTGCCTCGATGTTGATGACTGCTGACTGATCAATCAGAGTGGTGGCTGCTGAAAGTGGGAGTGGTTGTGGTGATTTTTTAACATAAGACAACAGTGAAGTTTGCCTCATTGATTCACTCTGCCTTTCAGGAATGATTTCTCTATAGCATATGATGCCATTTGATGGCATTTTACCCACGGTAGAACTTCATTCAAAATTGGAGTTGATTCTCTCAACCCCTATTGAATCACTGTATTGTATACCTGAAACTAATGTAACACTATATGCTAACTATACTGGAATTAAAATTAAAAACTTAAAAAAAATTCTCTCAAACCCTGCTGCTACTTGATCGACTAAGTTTATTTAATATTCTAAAACCTTTGTTGTCATTTCAACAGTCTGCACAGCATCTTCACCAGGAGTAGATTCCATGCCAAGAAACCGCTTTCTTTGCTCGTTCATAATAAGCAACTCCTCATCTGTTTAAGTTTTATCACATGATTGCAGCAATTCAGTCACATCATCAGTCTCCACTTCTAATTCCAGGTCTCTTGCTGTTTCCACCCATTCTTCAGTTACTTCCTCCATAGAAGTCTTGAACCCCACAAACTCATCTATGAGAGTTGGAATCTACTTCTTCCAAAGTCTTGTTGATGTTGATATTTCATCTCTTCCAGTGAATCATGAGTGTTCTTAATGGCATCTAGAATGGTGAATCTTTTTCTATAAAGTTTTCAATCTTCTTTGCCTACATCCATCAGAGGAATCACCATCTGTGGCAGTTATAACCTTACACAGTGTATTTCTTAAATTATAAAGGCTTGAAAGTCAAAATTACTTCTTGATCCATGGGCCACAGAATGGATGTTGTGGTAGCAGACATGAAAACAACATTCTCTCATTGTACATCTCCATCAGAGCTCTTGGGTGACCAGTCCATTGTCAATGAGCAATCAAATTTTGGAGGAATTTTTGTTCTCAGCAGTAGGTCTCAACAGTGTGCTTAAAATATTCAGCAAACCATCATGTAAACAGATGTGAGTAGTAAATTTAGCATAATTCTTAAAGGCCCTAGAATTTTCAGAATGGTAAATAAGCATTGGCTTCAACTTAAAGTTACCAGTGGCATTAGCCCCTAACAAGGGAGTCAACTTGTCCTTTGAAGCTTTGAAGCCTGGCACTGACTTCTCTCTAGCTATGAACATCCTTAATGCCAACTCTCCAGTAGAAAGCTGTTTCATCCACCCTGAAAATCTGCTGTTTAGTGTAGCACCTTCAGGAATTCTCTTAGCTAGAGCTTCTGGGTAAACTGCCGCAGCTTCTACATCAGCACCTGCTTCTTCACCTTGTACTTTTACGTTCCACAGGCAGCATCTTTCCTTCAACCTCATGAACCCTCCTCTGCTAGCTTCAGACTTTTCTTCTGTAGCTTCCTCACCTCTCTCAGCCTTCAGAGAATTGAGGAGAGTTAGGACCTTTCTCTGGATTAAGCTTTGGTTTAAGGGAATGTGTGGCTGGTTTTATCTTCTCTCCAGATCACCAAAACTTCCTCCATACAGCAGTGAGGCTGTTTTGCTTTCTTATCATCTGTGTGTTCCCTGGAGTAGCACATTTATTTATTTGTTTGTTTGTTTATTAAAGTAATCTCTACACCCAACTTGGGGCTCAAACTCATGACCCTGAGATCAAGAGTCGTATACTCTACTGACTGACCCAGCCAGGTGCCCCTGGAGTGGCACTTTTAATTTCCTTCAAGAACTTTTCCTTTGCCTTCACAACTTGGCTACCTGGCACAAGAGGCCTAGCTTTCAGCTTATCTCAGCTTTCAACATGCTTTCCTCACTAAGCTTAATCATTTCTAGCTTTTGACTTAAAGTGAGAGATGTGTGGTTTTTCCTTTCACTTGAACACTTAGAGGCCACTGTAGGGCTATTAATTGGCTTGGTTTCAGTATTGCTATGTCTCAGGGAATAGGGAGACCCAAGAAAAGGGAGGGAGATGGAGGAAGGGCTGGTTGGTGGAACAGTGTGAGCACACAAGACATTGATCCACTGAGTTGTCCATCTTATGTGGAAGCAGTCTCTGGCACCCCAAAACCATTATAATAGTAACATGAAGATCACTCATTAGAGATCACCATAACAAATATAATAATGAAAAAATTTGAAAAATTGTAAGAATTACCAAAATGTGGCACAGAGACAAAGTGAGAAATGCTGTTGGAAAAGTGGTGCTGATAGAATTGCTGAATGCAGGGTTGCCATAAACCTGCAATTTGTAAAAAAAAAAAAACAACAAAAAAAAACCAGTCTCTCTTAAGCACAGTAAAGCAAAGTGCAATGAAACAAGGCATGCCTGTTTTATTTGGAAGGACAGTTACCTGTCTCTCAGAACAGTTTTCAACTATTATAGGATCCTAAGACTATCTCAAAGTTAGAGAATTAATAATTTGTTTTAAAGAAATAAGAGCAGATTTGGCAGGACTAAATACTCCAATAAAAAGGAAATCTTTTTTTTTTTTTTTAAGATTTTATTTATTTATTTGACAGAGACGCTGCAAGAGAGGGGACACAAGCAGGGGGAGGGGGAGTGGGAGAGGGAGAAGCAGGCTTCCCACTGAGCAGGGAGCCCAATGCGGGGCTCAATCCCAGGACCCTGGGATCATGACCTGAGCCGAAGGCAGACGCTTAACCGACTGAGCCACCCAGGTGCCCCTGAAAAGGAAATCTTACTTCATGAAATCCAGTTGGATTCTAAAACACATCAAAAGTAACAGTTTTTTGGGGGGCGGAGTTGGTTAAGCATCTGCCTTCGGCTCAGGTCGCGATACCAGGGTCCTGAGATTGAGCCCCATGTTGGGCTCCCTGCTCAGCGGGAAGCCTGCTATCCTTCTCCCTCTGCTTGTCACTCCCCCTGCTTGTGCTTGCTCACTGTCTGTCAAATAAATAAAATCTTAAAAAAAAAAAAAAGTAAGTTTTTGTCATTAGTCCTGAGAACTTTTTTTTTTAAGATTTTATTTATTTATTTGACAGAGAGAGACACAGCGAGAGAGGGAACACAAGCAGGGGGAGTGGGAGAGAGAGAAGCTGGCTTCCCACCGAGCAGGGAGCCCGATGTGGGACTCGATCCCAGGACCCTGGGATCATGACCTGAGCCAAAGGCAGATGCTTAACGACTGAGCCACCCAGGCGCCCCAGTCCTGAGAACTTTTAAAGATACTTCATTTCATTTCATTTCATTTCATTTCATTTCATTTCATTTCATTTCATTTCATTTCATTTGAGTGTAGTTGACATATAACGTTACATTAGTTTCAGGTGTACAGCAGAATGATTCAGCTTCTGTATAGGTTGTGCTGTGTTCACCACAGTGTAGCTACATCTGTCCCCATATAATGCTCTTACAATGTCATTGACCATATTCCCTATACCTTTTATTCCTGTGACTTATTCATTCCATAACTAGAAGTCTGTGTCTCCCACTCCCCTTCACTCATTTTGCCCATTCTCCCACACCCCAAGCATATTTTAAATTGTAGAGACACTGACAGATACTAAAGAAATAAGTAACATTAAACAAATCTGACTAGCCTAGACATTAGCATTAAAGATAGCTGTGTACATTGTTTTAAAGATTGTTCGATTTCTAATTTGTATTCTATTGCTGTCTTTTTTTTTTTTTTTTTTTAAGATTTTATTTATTTGACAGAGAGAGCACAAGCAGAGGGAGAGGGAGAAGCAGGCTCCCCACTGAGCAGGGAGCCTAATGCGGGACTCCATCCCAGGACCCTGGGATCATGACCTGAGCTGAGGGCAGACGCTTAACGACTGAGTCACCCAGGCATCCCCCTATTGCCTTCTTTTATAAACACTTCTGTGTTTACTTCCTTTCTCAGATATTTTGAGGATTCATTTTAAGCCTTCATGATGTTCATTTTTATATTTGTTATCTGAACCAAATTAATATTTTAAATATACAGGTGGTCCTCGTTATTTGTAGATTCCATAGTTATACTTTAAGGTTCTCATTGTTTATAGGTTCCATATTTGCAACTGATTTACTTGCTAAAATCTATTTGTATCCCCAGAGTCAATACTCCCAGTGCTTTGGTGGTCATTCGTGGATATGCACAGAGCAGTAAATATTTGCTACCCTACATACACATTCTCAGCTTAGGTCGAACAAGGCTACCCTCTTCCTTCTTTCTTCATCCCTCACACTATAAACAAGTGTTTTCTCATGTCTGTTTTTGTGCCACATTTTTGTACTTCTTGTTGATGATGTCACTGTTTAAAATGGCCCCAAGCGGGCGCCTGAGTGGCTCAGTTGGTTAAGCGACTGCCTTCGGCTCAGGTCATGATCCTGGAGTCCCGGGATCGAGTCCCGCATCGGGCTCCCTGCTCAGCGGGGAGTCTGCTTCTCCCTCTGACCCTCCTCCCTCTCATGCTCTCTGTCTCTCTCTCACTCTCTCTCAAATAAATAAATAAAATATTTAAAAAAAAAAAAAAATGGCCCCAAGCATAGTGCTGCCTAGTTTTCCTAAGTACAAGAAGGCTATGATGTGCCTTATAGAGAAAATATGTATGTTAGGTACACTTCATTTACGCATGAGTTACAGTGCTATTGGCCTTGAGTTCAATGTTAATGAACTAACAATATATATTAAATAAGTTATCTTTAAACAGAACCACAAAAAAAACACAACAAGGTTATGTATTGATTCGTTAGGGAAAATGTAACTAGGGGTCACAGGAACCTAACCCTGTATTTGCCCTAGGAGCAGTGTTTTAGTATTTGATAATTCAGTGTTTGCAGTGATTTTATAGATGTAACTACTGTGAATAAGGCAATGCACTATATGACAAAATAAGAGTAAATTTCTAAGTTGTAGGGCAACCAAGCTGCTTTTCTTCCTCCCTTCTTTCTTTTCTTCCTTTTTTGCTTCTTTCCTTTCTTCTTCTTATTCAATCACTTGTGCACCTGAATGTTAGAGCAAGAGGAGAGCAAGTACTGACCTAAGGGAATCCCCGTGCTGCTGGTCCTGGAACCACCACTGTCTGTGACTGTTGTTAAGGGAGAAAACATGACAGGTAAACTCAAATCATGTAGGAAGTTACAGCTTTGGGGGAATGTCTTTACCCCTTTAGTTTCACTGCTGGTAGTCGTGTCAGCACTTAAAATCACTCAGACTTTTTCAGAGTGGAAACCAGCAGTGTAGTTTTAAAACCTTCCTACGTGAAAAACAGAAATATGCACAAAGCTATGTTACTAAAGATGTTTTCTTTACATATGAAATGAATTCATCTCTTGTTTCAGAGTTAATGATGAAGATGTCAGACTGATGTTGTGGGATACAGCAGGTCAAGAGGAATTTGATGCAATAACAAAGGCCTACTATCGAGGTAAATTGTGGGGTTTGTTTGGGCATGTTCTTTCGGCTAAACAAAGAGCTTCACTTTATTCCACATAGAAGGGTTTCTTTATAAGAAGACTTGAATTAATTTCAGAGTATTTTTAAAAACCTCTTAGGTCATTATTCTCCTAATGATCTTGTTGAGTGGCAAATAACGCTGTGTACTATAGTTTGTCTCTGCCTTGGAATTATATGACTCACATAGGCATTCCCAGTTCTTTTTTTTTTTTTTTCTTTTAAAGATTTTATTTATTTATTTGACAGAGAGAGACACAGCGAGAGAGGGAACACCAGCAGGGGGAGTGGGAGAGGGAGAAGCAGGCCCCAGCAGGAAGCCCGATGCGGGGCTCGATCCCAGGACCCTGGGATCATGACCTGAGCCGAGGGCAGACACTTAACGACTGAGCCACCCAGGCGCCCCGGCATTCCCAGTTCTAATCAGTTAGAAATTGCTCAGTGCCTATTTCCGACCACATGGAGATGACTCTATGGTCAGAGAGTGGAAACTGGCATGAAAAAGTAAAGTTCCTGCAAATAAGATGACACTTTGTTAAGACGCATGAAATTGCGGGGATAAAGCCGTCTCAGTGCTCTAAGAGTTCAGAGAAGTGTGAGATACACGTAAAAGGAAAGAACTCCAGCTGTAGCACTTAAGAGTCTAAAATGTGGGGTTAAATTCCTCAAGGAAAGCTGAAATTTCTAAATGGAAATTTCTAAAGTTTCCGTTAATATTTTCCTCTAAAATTTTGTCCTTTGGGGCGCCTGGGTGGCTCAGTCATTAAGCGTCTGCCTTCGGCTCAGGTCATGGTCCCAGGGTCCTGGGATTGAGCCCTGCATGAGGCTCCCTGCTCAGCGGGAAGCCTGCTTCTCCCTCTGCCTGCTGCTCTCCCTGCTTGTGCTCTCTCTCTCTCTCTGGCAAATAAATAAATAAAATAGGGGCGCCTGGGTGGCGCGTTGGTTAAGCGACTGCCTTCGGCTCAGGTCATGATCCTGGAGTCCCGGGATCGAGTCCCCCATCGGGCTCCGTGCTCGGCGGGGAGTCTGCTTCTCTCTCTGACCTTCCTCCTCTCATGCTCTATCTCATTCTCTCTCTCAAATAAATAAATAAAATCTTTAAAAATAAATAAATAAATAAATAAATAAATAAAAGTTTAAAACAACCAAAGAAGTTGCCTTTCTGACTTGGTACCAGGGAAACCTGATTTCCACTGCCTCCTCTAAGAAGACATTTTGGTTTCTTGAGAAATTAAGAGAGGTACACCTCTCAGGTATCATTCTAATGGTGCCACCACTACTTCTCATTCTATTTACTGTGTCCTTAAAGCCTTCCCAGGGGCAGTAGTTTTGACTGTTGCTGTCCTGTGGATGCTAGTTTGGATCTTGAGCACCTGTAACATGGCGTGAGGCAGGAATTATGTTCTTATGGCTCAAAGCTCTTAGACTAGATGGCATTTTTATCAAATTATTAATTTCATGAGCATTGGCACTATTGATTAACAGGCCCGAAAATTAAAGTTAATTCTTAAATTTTTTAATTTTTTTTTTAGATTATTAGAGAGAGAGAGAGAAGCTCACAAGTGGGGAGGAGAGGGAGAAGCAGGCTCCCTCCCCACTGAGCAGGGAGCCCAATGTGGGGCTCCATCCCAGGACCCTGGGATCATGACCTGAGCCAAAGGCAGATGCTTAACCAACTGAGCCACCCAGGCACCCTAAAGTTAATTCTTGAGTAAAAATTATTTGTATTTTCTTAGTGGGGTTATTACCACCATACCTCTTCACCCCATTCATACAGAAAGAAAACAAAACAAAAAACCCTAGGGGAAATATAAAAAAATAGTAGGAGTACATGAGATTTTCATCATTTTTACCTAGCTTTTTTTCTCTAAATTCTCAGCATGAAATATGTGTTCTTTTGTGAGGAAAAAAGATAGCTTGGGTTCTCCCCCGCCTTTTTTTTTTAAGATTTTATTTATTCATTTGAGAGAAAGAGGGAGAGAGCAGGGGGGAGGGGCAGAGGCAGAGGGAGAAGCAGACTTCCCGCTGAGCAGGGAGCCAGATCCCAGGACCCGGGAGCCAGATCCCAGGACCCGGGGATCATTACCTGAGCAGGTGCCCCACAAAGGTATCTTTCACATCCTTCATGTGTCTGAGGCTCACAGGAGTCCTGTAAGGCTAGCAGAGTAGGTAGAGTTATCCCCACTTCACTGATATGGAAGCAAACGGAGAAGAGGAGAGATTTGCCCATGATCATGTGACTAGGGAGGAGTAGGGCTGAGCCTTGGCTCTTTCAAGCCACTTCTCTGAATCACGTACTCCATGTTCTCTGTCATTTATTTGTGGGACTTCCTCTCAAAGCACAAAGTCTGTAGTCTACTTTATTATTATTTTAAATATTTTATTTATTTGTCATAGACAGAGAGCACAAGCAGGGGGAGCGGCAGGCAGAGGGAGAAGCAGGCTTCCCGCTGAGCAGGGAGCCCAATGTGGGGCTCGATCCCAGCAGCCTGGGATCATGACCTGAGCTGAAGGCAGACGCTTAACCACTGAGCCACCCAGGCGCCCCGGCTCCTTGGTTTAAAAAAAAAAAAAAAAAAAAAAACAGACCAGGTAGCTAAAAATATTTTTATTTCCTCTGTAGTTGAGGAATTAATGCTTTCTTAAATTTTATCCCATGAGACTATGGGATGTTCAACATTATTATCTTTTAATTTTTAAAATTTGACTCATCTGGCTTGTTGTGTGCTTCTTGTTTAGTACTTTTTAAGTGTCCACAAATCAGAGTTTCTCTTAACAATGTCTGCAAAAACATTCTTTGCCAGAAACTAAAAAGAGGACCCATAATTGTTAGTATTTACTTGTTTTATCTTAATTTACTGTGGGTGATGTTTAAATTTTTTTCCACTTTGTTTCATTTAGACTACAAGGCTTCAAACAGCTTTGGTTTCCCTACACTTAACATTTTATTTTATTCTTATTTTTTATTTATTTATTTTTAAAGATTTTATTTATTTATTTGACAGAGAGAAACACAGCGAGAGAGGGAACACAAGCAGGGGGAGTGGAAGAGGGAGAAGCAGACCGTCCGCTGAGCAGGGAGCCCAACGCGGGACTCGATCCCAGGACCCTGGGATCATGACCTGAGCCGAAGGCAGATGCTTAAAGACTGAGCCATCCAGGCGCCCCCATTTTATTTTATTTTTAAAGATTTTATTTATTTGCGAGGGAGAGGGAGAAGCAGACTCGTGACCTAAGTCCAAGACAGATGCTTAACCAACTGAGCCACCCAGGGGGCCCCTATACTTAACATTTTAACTTAAAGTTGATCTTAAGCTTATAAATAGATTATCTCTTACAAGCTTTTCTTAAGAGGTTATGTGTGGTGGTGAGCGCTGTGTATTGTGTAAGACTGATGAATCACAGACCTGTACCCCTGAAACAAATAATACATTATATGTCAAAAAAAAAAATAAAAAGGCTTTTCGGGCGCCTGGGTGGCTCAGTCATTATGCGTCTGCCTTCGGCTCAGGTCATGGTCCCAGGGTCTGGGATCGAGTCCCATATCGGGCTCCCTGCTCCGCGGGAAGCCTGCTTCTCCCTCTCCTACTCCCCCTGCTTGTGTTCCTGCTCTCACTGTGTCTCTCTCTGTCAAATAAATAAAATCTTTAAAAAAAAAAAAAAAAGGCTTTTCTTAAAATGTAATTTTTTTAGTTCAACCATGTTAAAATGGCAAAGAACATAGGATACTGAGACAGGTCTTATGTTTCATCTTCTTTTTCTAAGTTATAAGAATAAACATCACATCCCAAAATGAATTAAGTAATAGAAAGTGGCAATTATATGTAAATTTGGGAAATGGCATATTGAATATTCTTATATGCTTTCCTTTGAGGTTCCATCAGAATGCTTTTGGTTGCTGAGAACAGAAAAGCAACCTCAAACTAACTTAAACTACAAAGAAAAGTGGAAGTAGCGTAGCTTTTAGTTATAGTTTGTTCTTACTGTAACCCCACTGATTCTCCTAACTTGCCTCACTCCCAGTGTAGGGTTCCTCATGCTGATTTTCCTTTTGGTTGCAAGATTGCTACCATCAGCAATGGAAGCCACGTGCTTTGTTCACGTCCTTGGGGGGAAAGAGTTAATTCCCACAACAATGGATCAAAAGTCCTGAGCTTTTATCTGATTAGATCACCCTTGACCAGATCACTGTAAGTAGTTAGAGGAATGTGATTACCCTAATTGGCTTGGTGCACTTAGGGCCTACTCCCCCAGAGCAGAGGGTAGGTTCAGCCTGCCTAAACCATAGGCTACTATACAGTAAGGGAGAGGTGTTCTCAGGGAGGGAGGGTAATTGGACGCCAGCTAGGCAACTGGGTAATCATCTGCTACTAGTGTAGATTCAAATATGATGATACAATTAAATAGAAACGAAGATTAGGAAGAGAATGTAAGGGCTGGGAAAAATGCATTAAAATATCAATTTATTGATGGAAACACCATGCCTTATAAAATTAGGACTTACTGATTTATGTCCTAGAAATGTATTATTCAAAATACATAAAAATTTTAAAAATTTATATTTAAAGAAGAAAAATTTTATTATAATTCATTTAAAAGACCTACCATAAAAAACCATTGTTTAAAGGCACAGTTAGGGGCACCTGGGTGGCTCAGTCGTTAAGTGTCTGCCTTCGGCTCAGGTCATGATCCCAGGGTCCTGGGATCGAGCCCCGCATCGGGCTCCTTGCTCGGTGGGGAGCCTCCTTCTCCCTCTCCCACTTCCCCCTCCCCCTGCTTGTATTCCCTCTCTTGCTGTATCTCTCTCTGTCAAATAAATAAAATCTTTAAAAAATAAAAAATAAAGGCACAGTTATATTTTTAGAATGCTGCATTAATTGTATAGTGAGACATGTTGAAACATGACTTTGTAAAGAACAGAACACAGATCACATTAGAAACCCTTATGGGATCCCAAGTGACTCCTCTTAAATT